AATATTGCTGATTCTTCTTTGGATTTCATCAAAGAGCTCAAGGAAAATAGAAGGAGCACAAGACCATATGTGGCAGCAATATTCTAAGCATTGACGTATGGTAAATTTATGGATATGTATGATAGATTCTGGAGAAAAAACTGTCTAGCTTGACATGGTGAACAAACATTCTTAGCAGTTGAACTAGCAATGGATTCAATATAGTCTTTCCACTTCATGTCAGCTGAGAACGTCAGCCCGAGCAGCTTCAATGAATCACCTTCCTGAGGGTTAACATCGGCCATGCTGATGGAAGGCAGAAAATGGTCTCACATATGTTTTATGGATATATGTTTAGTCATGGAGACGTTAAAATTAACAAGCCGTCTTTTTCTTCAGTTAACAACGGACTTGGGGTCCTTTTGGACAATGGCTGTCATTTTGACCTTATCGAACTGATCAGCCTTACTATCGAGACAGAAGTAAATGGTTACGTCATCAGCGTAGATACTAAGTTGAGCGCTGATGCGATTGGGAATGTCCTTAATGAATATTCAAAACAAGGTAGGACCAAGGTTTTAGCCCTGGGGGACACATTCGCATTAGTACGAGAGGATCAAGCCGTACAGGACAATTTTTAAAACTTATAATATTTTCTCCTGGAATTTGACGTTTAAACGACGGTTCTTATACGAACACCGAAGTTAAGTAACGTCGAACCTGTTCAGTACCCAGGTGGGTGATTGATTTGGAATACCAGGTTTGTTAAGCGGATGGATAATGTCGAACCTGTTAATCCATTTGGGTTTGCTATATTTTTACTCAATTCACAGAAGATAGACGAAACATCATTAAGACGCAAAAGACGACTCGTGATTTTTCAGCTATGGTAATTAATTAACTAATTAAGCATGACGTGAAGCGAAAATACTTAAGGAGAAAAAAGCAGACGAAAAGACATACTGAGCGATGTTATTTTTTTAACAAAAAAAAATGGGTAACAATTTTTTCATTTGCCCAGAAAGGTAATTTTTTCGCAATGAAAAAATTTGTAATCTCGGATCTGTCAGAATTAATTAATGCCATGACGTGACAAGGAAAGCTAGGGTAAAGATAACAAACTGCCCATGGCAATAATGAAAATTTCAATTTGGTCAAGCGGCATACAAAGCAATTAATCGGAACTGGGTCAAATGCGACCGAAAAAAGAAGGACCAAAGGGAAGGAAAGAAAAAAAGAAAAAGAATAAGCCATTAACTGTCTTTCGGAGATGTCATTTGGTTTTGGAAGGAGAAAAATCTGTTGTATGTCCGGAACCTGTCATGATAAAGTTTGTTACCTGGACAAGCTGTTGGTGACAGAATGCGATGATGTTGAGAAAGACAAAGAGATTTAGTTGACCACCCAGAGAATAAGTCGGCGAAAATCCCATTAATTAATCCCAGATGACATCAAGTTAAGATAAAAATTTAATAGAATTCTGGCCGATGGAGGAGAGAGAAAGAAAAAGGAAGATTTTTTTTTCTTTGAGCGATAATTGCCGGGCGTTCATTGGCTGAGTGGAGGTGTGAGTGATGGACGAAGGTAAACATATGAGAAAGAAGGGAAACCTGTTGACGCCCTCTGAGGGGATTGGTGTGAGATACCAATATGAGAAAGGAAGGATTTAGGAGGACAATTCCCTTACGAACCCCAACTACAGAGAGGGGGAGAACCCCTCTAAAACAGAAAGTAACTGACTTCCAAAAATGGGAAGTGATAAATTTTCCTGTCCGAAAACAAAGAAAATCCTTATTGCGGATTTGGAATTATCGAGGAACCCAAACCACGTCAGCCCCCCACCCGGTTTTGGTCAGCATCCATATAAACGAACGTCCCCAGAGTTTCACAGAGTACAGTTAGAGTTGGAGTCACAGAGTTGAGTCGCAGTTGAGCTGTGAGCTCGGAGACCAGCCTCGCAGGAGCTGACTGAAAGGTTTCCACGCATTCCGACTTAAACTTCTAACCAAAAACAGTTTTTTTTTTTTTTAAGAACGACTTAGACTCACACTACCAAAACAAGTTTTAACGAATATCGCCTGAAGATATCAAAAAGCAGTTTATTGAAAAACAGCTTAAGATATTAAGACTCGCCTAAGAAACGCAAAGTGTCACGAATCCATAAAAGCGGTTTGGGAGAAAGACGCAGTCCTGTATTCAGAAAACAAATATAAAGATATTTTTTAACACATTTGAATCTTTTGAGTTGTTATATTATTTTCTTTTACATACACTTGTGCGGTATCACCATGGCCCCAAATTCAGCTTGCACTACGGCCCGACGCCTAATTAATTTCGTCTACCTAAGATCAAATTACAACGTGGGTAGTTTAGACTAGAAATCAAAGCAGTTACTTCGGTAACCAGACGTTGGAAGCCAGCTGGGAACGACAAAGCTGATATCGAATCTAATCAGACATCGACCGCGACCAAGACAACCAGAGGGGTTAGTGTCACACATGGTTCCGTGGTAAACCAGATTTCCATCCGAACCAGCCAAAGGTTGATAGCATCGTCACAACTGAAATAAAGTATCTTTAGAAGGAACCGGAAACCTGATAATAGTATGAATTTAGCCGGAGACGTTAGAAGTTTCGTGCTGAAGTAGAATTTAGAAGGAACCGAAAATCCAATCCTATACAGGAAACAAAAGATAAACGTATAGTTCTGTATAAAATACCGGGGAGTAAACTGGACAAGAGGTGAACCTGCCTCACTTACGAGCAAATATCCTTGGGAAATGTATGAAACCACCACTTCTCTCCCCAGCTATGGGTTAATTAGTAGGACTTGTATCAGTAAATTGTTATTATCTAAAAAGAAATCTTACAATCTAAAAATATTTTCTGGCTGCAAAATAACATGCAAAAAGTCGATAGGTTGTAAAAAAATCAATCAAATCAATATATAATGTGTATCCTCCTATGAATATTGTACAGACTCGTTACAGATGAAGAAATTACTTGAACCGGTAGATATATACGTTTATCAACGAATGTTGAGAACGCAACCTACATAGTCCATAAGTCACGAATAAATGTTTGGAGAATTAGGATCTAGAGTTACTGGCTTATGTCTTTTGTTGTTGATTTTGTTTTTACTTGAGCCACTACTTGTAGACTGAATTAATTTGTTAAAATTAGATGACAGTGGAGTTGAAGTGATCGGAGAAACATCATCTTGGGAGTCAATTATACAAATCGTTCTTTGCGTTACATTCACTCATAGGAATCCATCTCTCCCAGTTATGCGTTAAGTAGGACTTGTATCAGGAAAAAAATCTTTGTTATTCTTTTAAAAAAAGTGTTAATGAAATATTGACTCGCAAAAATTTATTCTTCTATTCCAAAATATGTTTCGTCTTTAGCCCAGAAAACCGTTAAAAATCAATCAATCAAAAGCTGTTATTGGGAATGGAACTTTGATTCTGCTAGAAGATGGTGAAGGGAATGAGAATGATTCAACACTGTGTACATGGTACTTCTGTAAAGGTCTGAACTGGTAGAATTAAGAAATGTGCTCGTCAACCTGGGACACATAATGAGGAAGGAAGGCCTGGAGAATCTGATACTCACAGGTCGAATAGAGGGAACGAGAGACAAGGGATAACAACGCGTGACATACCTGGCGGGCTTAAGCAAGTGGATGACAGAACTTGGCCTGGGGTAGGAAACAGGAAAGGAACTTGTTGAGAGCTTCAAGGGATAGAGGGAGGTGGAGAACCATGATCGCCTACGTCCTGAAAGGACATAGCACATAAAAAGAAAAGAACATTTTCCGTGGAAATAGCGATTGAATACCGATCAGCTTGCGACGTTTCGTCTGGGGGTAAAGAGGTTGTATGATGGAATATAATGACCGGCAAGGTCACGTAGGCGTATTTTGAATCCTGCCAAAGCTGTAAATTGACGATTGAGTAAACCCAGCCCATTTATAGTTGTAATACTCTATTATGGGTTTAATCTCATTCTTGTAAAGATGAAGCGCGGCATAAGGACTCTGGATTGGAAAATGGAGATTGGGCAGCTCTAGGCCAGGTATGACAGTAATACTCCATTTGGGCTTTTATCTGACTTTTGTAAAGATAAAACGCGATATAAGGACTCAAACCTGATAAACGAAGACTGAGCAGCCCCATGCCAGATATGACTGCAGTACTCCATTTTGGGTTTAATCTGACTCTTGTAAAGATGAAGCGTGGTATAAGGACACTAAAATAGCTATAAATTTTAAATTGAATAGCTCCAACCAAGATATGGTTGCAATACTCCATTTTGGGTTTAACGAGACTTGTAAAGATGAGACGCGGCACTAATGACTCTATCGAGGCTGGAAAATGAAGAGTGAGCAGCTCCATGCCAGATATGACAGCTATACACTATTTGGGGTCTAATCTGATTTATGTAAAGATAAATCGAGACATATGGATTCTGTTAAGGCTGTAATGTGACGATTGAGCTGTTCCAGCCCAGATATAGTAGCAATGCGCAAATTTTTGTCCGATTTAGCGATGGTAAATGCTGGAAATCAAAACGTGATAGCAAAACTGTTTTTGGTGCACATCATGAGGGTAGATAGATTCAAGAATTTAATATTCAAAGGCTGCATCTAAGGTGCATGTTCATAAAGGATATGACACATATAGATAAAGAAATAAGTAGGGGGATAATATAGTTTGTTTTTTGTTTTTATTTTTAAATCTTGCATCCTTAGTTTCAGTTGCTTCTCATTGCAGTTACTCACACTGTCATTCTACGAATGAAGTGGATCGCAAATAAAGACAAGTATTTCAACAGAGGATGGAAAAGGAAACACCGAAATGTTAAGGCTCATTGGAATGGCCAAAGATACCTTTCAAAATCTAAGCCAAATATTAAGAAACAGAAGAAAGAACCTAGATGTCTGGGGGATTTTCTCAAGAATCTTTTGATATAAAGCAGAAACACCAGACCAAATTTGCCAGCAATATTCAACGCAAGGACGAATAGTAGACTTATTGTATAGATAGATAGATAGATAGATAGATAGATAGATTCTGGGGAGATATATTGTCTCTTTTTTCTGTCTGCTGATTTAGCAATATACTCAATATAATCATATCAGTGGGAAACGTAGAAGCAAAAGAAGGCACAGTGAATTACTCTCCAGCTATAATGATGGAAAGCAGAAACTGATCTTTATCCCTTTACCTGTCCAGGCCATTTCCGTGTGTACGATCCAAACGTCCATGCTTGTTATCAGATATACGGTAGAATAATGGATAACGGCTTGGATTGAGGAATCGGAGAGCTGAATTCTAATCGGATCCATTACATTCACTTACGTGCTAATACCCTTGGGAAAGGTATGAATCCTCTTCTTCCAAGCTATAGGTAAATAGCCTTGGATCGCAGAAAGAAATGGTAATCTACTGCGGAAAAAATCTATCTCGTCAGTCATGTATCGAAAGATACATTATCGCCTAAGCGTGTATCACACATGTGTGACGTGACGTGGCTGCCCCAGGCTCTGATCCTGGTCACGGCACCAATTGTGACGCCAACTGTGACGTTCTATCCTGATCTACCACGGCGCCAGTTGTGACGTCCCTAAACAGCACCAATCGTGACGTCTTCGCCGCGGCGTCAGCTGTTCGCTCTTCGCCGCTCCGTCCGGGTGTCGCTGCTCCAAACGTGACGTTCTAACCCTTTGGTGATTCGGGTAGGAATCTGGTTAGATTGATACCAGCCTCGCTGTTCCCAACCTGCTTCCAACGCCTGGTTACCAGGGTAACTGCACTGATCTCCAGTCTGCCTACCCACGTTGTGAATTGATCTTAGACAGACGAGATTAAACAGGGGTTGGGGCCGTAATGCAAGCCGAGTTCAACGGGGGTGATAACACACAAATATGTATAAAAGAAAATAAAATGAAAACTCACACAGTTCAAAGTATCAAAGAAAAAGGTAACAAACTTTTTATGTCTATTTGTTCGGTACATAGGACTATGTCTACTTCCCGACTCGTTCTGTGGATTGTGGCACGTCGCTTTCACTAGGCAAGTTTTAACGCTTCAAGTTGTCTGCTCTCTAAGAAATTTGTGTTTCGGTGTGTCTTTGGACGAAAGTCGAAAAACTTATTTCTGTGGTCTGGTTCTAAGTCGCTCTTCAAACTAATTGTTCTTGGTTGAAGAAGAGTCCAAAAGTGTGCGTGAATCTTGGTCAGCTATCTTGATGCGGTTTCAACACTGGGCGCTCATCTCTGCTTGTCGTCCGGAGCTCAAAACTTCTCGCCAGGGTCCGCGGCTGAACTCAAACTCTCCAGAGTCTGAGTTACTGGGCACTCATCTCTGCCGCCGGTGCGCGAACTAACTTCTTCTCGCCAGCTTGGGTCGAACGAACTTCTTCACTCAGGCCAAACGAACTGGCCTCTTCTACCCGCTAGGGGGCGAACGAACTCGGCCCGCCGTCCGCGGCTGCACTGATTTCTGTCTGGTGGGGCTTCGTTTTTATTGACGCCGTCAAAACTGGGATGGGTCTGTTTGGCGTCGGGGATTCTTCGATAATTCTAAATACGTATCTACCCTTCTTATTTCTGGTTAGGGATTTTCCACTCTTTTCCATTTTTGGTAACTCCTTTCTCCTCCCTCTCTCTCACTGTGCTTCTGAGGGGCGTGCACTAACTTCCCCACTTCTTCGTATCGGCTTCTCCCCCACTTACACTCTGATAGAGGCGTCGACTGATTTTCTTCGTGCGTCACGTGACCGCTCTCAGCCAATGAGGTCCTGGTCGGTATCTTTCCTCCTCCTTCGTGCGTCATGTGATCCACTTGGCCAATGACGTCTTAGTCGGGCGTGAATAACCCGTGGCTTTGTTTTGGGAAAAAATACCTTTAACAAAAAAAAAATAATTAAATCGCCCTTATCGCAGCGGCCGATGTGACAGTCTCGGCTTTAACACGTGGCGTTCGTCAAGCAGTTTATCGCTAATTGGATATGATCTAAGAAAAAAATTTTCCTAGCCTACCTAGCGTTTCTAAAGCAAAAATAAATACATTTCATTTTCCTTTCGGCCCATGTGTTGACAACAAAAAATCTTTATTATCACAGGGCAAGCGTTTATTCTGTCAAAAGAAAAAAAAACTTAGCCAGCGAAAACTACTTGTGTGGGAATTTTTTTTTTTTTCAATTCTTTACACCCAGGGAAGACCGTCTGTGTTTCGTCAATGTTCAACAATGGATTTCTTCTTTTTGGTGACATCCAATGATAACAAAATTCCATTTTTCGTGGACAAGCGGAAATCGGTCAACGCTTGTTTGTAGATATTTTCGACATCTGATACCTATCGACTATAACCTTTTTCCTCCTCATTTCCGTCTCTTAAGCCGTGTGTGTGTGTGTGTGTGTGTGTGTGTTCGCCTATGGCTCGTCTCGTATTACTTTTTCTTTCTTTCTTCTTCGTTTTCTCTTTCTTTCTCTCAAATCGCTTAAATGCAAAGAAAGAATTATTCTTAAAACCTAAAATATTTTTCGGCCTTAAATAATTATCAAATGGTTGATAAACCGTAAAAAAGCAAATCATATATCTATAAATATTTCTTTCAAATCGTCCGGATGCATGTCTTTTCTTAAGCGTCTTTATTTATACCACTCTTTTAAAATCATAGCTTCTTTGGACCGCATACAACGCACGGGCGTGGAAATCATATGTCCTATACATCTCATATAAATACTGGAATACATTGGAATGGTATGAATTCTCTTCTTCTCCCGCCCCACAACTATGTGTAAATAGCAGAACAGATCTGGTTCTATAGCTTTGGATGGCAACTGGTCTAGCGCCTAAGCGTGTTTCACGCCAAAGCGTGTTTCACGATGGTCAGCACATAACCGCGTCCATGGTTGATATTATTAAAGGGTGTTTCTCTTTTTTTTTTAATAATTTCTGCTTCCATTATTTTTAGACTTTTTTAACGTGTGGCTGATGCTATAATTTTCTACGAGTATGATGCGGACGGAGTTTGGTAGCTTTTCGTGTATGTTCAAATGGGTCCTAACTGAGCTATCTATTTATAAATAGGAATATGAACATGACATTCTACACATGTTCATATGCACACACGTACAGCCGTAAACACAAACATATGCACACGGTTATACACATACACCATTGCACCGATAAAAAGTGTATAATTTTTTTTTTTAATTTAATATAAAATGACGAAACGAAAATGAGAAAATCATTAGCTGGTAGCTTCTGACGAGTGGATCAAGCGATGACAAAACGGTTCTTTTACGAAACAATCAGCTACGTGATAAATTTTATACCTGTATTAATCATATATATATATATATATATATATATATATATATCGTGTGTGTATTTAGGTAGGCAGCATTTTTTAATTAATGCATGTTTTATTAAATAATATAGACAAGTTTTGTCAATTTATTTTAAGCAAATTTCTTTCATATCGTCTGATAGTCTTAATAATATTATTATTGAAAGACGAAAGAAAATCACCATCATTCAAATGTAGAGTCAAGCGTCGTCAAAGCGAGCTTGTGGTGTGACCAACATAAACATTATTTAATCCGTTGGAGATACAAACTCCCAGAGGCACTTAAATTTGTAAACTATGTTAGTTTTTTGCAAACAAACAGACTATCATTGTTGCCATGTCCGTGTATTGTTTAATTTATTGTAATGTAATTGTCATCTCTGCATCATGCATTAATATATATATATATTTTATATATATATATATATATATATATATATATATATATATATACTGTGTGTGTTTGTGTATGTGCATAATGTGTATAAGATAAAATGACCGATGGTACATATCCGAAAAAAGTATGAAGTTTGTAAAAGCCAGTTAGATGTTGAGATTTTTAGTCTTTGTCAACGTTTCACTCTGTAAAAGCATACTCAGAACAATACTAGAAATCTTTACGATGACTACCGACTACTTAAATATGTGGTTAATTTTAACATTTTTAACTCTGAATATTGAAAGAGAGAGAGAGAGAAAGGAGACTTTCTTTCCTTCCTTTTATTTTCGTCTCGTATTTTCTCCACTACCCGTCTCTCAGTCACTTATTCAGACACATCAAATATATCATTCAACCTTGCCTCTGCAGCTTCAATTTTATCATATATATATATATATATATATATATATATATATATATATATATATATATATATATATATATATATGCAATCAGAGAAAGTGTTTCTGCTAAGCGGTTATATAACATGACAGGACTTTGTGGTAATGAGGTGGGTGGTTCATAAGTTCATAAATCGGGTATCCATGTCTTTTCATGCCATGGCTAGTAATATACAAGCATTTTAGATAAGAGGTGCCAAACGTAGAACGGATAGCAAATAAAGGGTCGTTTTTTTTTGTTTTATTTTTGTTTTTGTTTTTTTGCGAGTCAAAAGAGTAAATTTGCTACAACATCAAACTTTGTTATAAGTGGCTGCGGAGTGATGCTTAAGATTTGTGACTTCGCGTACTTTTATCTACGAGGATACCTATTTCCACTCTCTATCTCAAATCCTGCATATATACTAGCAGAATTACCCGCGCCTTACTGCCTGATTGATTTTTAATGATTGATTTTAAGCCCTTGTTATAATTTGTGGAGAAAAACGATGCATTTCAATTTTACTCTATGATCTTGCCAATGTGACCTCCATCTTCTGGCTTTCTCCTTCTATATTTTGGATAGAAATCATTCATGTGGAATGTGCAAAAACAGCTTCATCTGACCCCTTTCATATGTATTTGATATAACACATGAATGATTGTATTGATGAGCAAATTTCACTATTGATATTACTGTTGAATTGTATCGATAAATATGCATTCTAAGGCACTAACCACTGATTGGTGACTTCTTGCTCAACTTGGCATACATATTCTCTCATTTTGAACTTGCTGATGTGACCCCCATCTTCTGGTTTTCTCCTTCTATATTTTAGTTAGGCGTCATTCTCGCGTTCAAATTTAAATTTATTTTAAATCAAAGGGAACAAAACATCTTCAGTGGGGGGTGCCCCCCCCCACCACCACCACACCGTGAACCCCGAAACCTTTTCATCAAAACGAAATATACTTATCCAAGTACTCTGGGTAATGTAATTTTATAATATATATGGTTATAGGTCTCTATCTAAAAAATCCTAGGAGGAGTTCGATAACAAACAGACAGAGGTTATATATATATATATATATAGAGAGAGAGAGAGATAGATAGATAGATATATTATTTTAGGATATTACATCAGAAACATTTAAAAACGCTACAGAAATGCAATCATGTTTCGATGCGTATTCACTGATTGCATTTGTGTAGCGTTTTTTACATGATTTTTCATCTAATATCCTAAAATAAGAAATACTGTTCTACTTTTGTATTGAGCTCTCTTTAAAATTGAATGTTACGAACATCGGAATTGGGCTCTATTCGTTCTCATTTTACATGGATATATATATATATATATATATATATATATATATATATATATATATATATATATATATGTATAGAGAGAGAGAAAAATAAAATTTTAAGGTGTGCTATATTTATGGGATAAAGTCCTCAATATCAGAGATAGAGCGTGTGTAAATATAAATATAAATATAAAAGTGAACATTGATGTCAACACTCAGAGGTGACAGGCTGTTTCATGCGAGACGCAATCGTCTAGACTTCAACGTTCACTTATATATATATACATATATATATATAGTTCATATTTAGGTTGCAAACTATTTTTATAGATGAGACGGACAAAGAAACTTTTATAATTTTTTAATTGAGTTCTTACGGTTTTCGTTTGTTTTTTTTTCTTTGCTAGCTAAGAAAATGTAGAAATTGTTCATAGTCATTATTTTCAAAAGCGCTTTGGGAAAATTCATTAGTCGTTTTGAAAGTGTTCGTTGTTAGTATGTTTTATATGTTGTATTTTGTAGAATTAGTAGTAATTGTAAATCTTGCTGGATGGGTGCAGCAGTAATTCCATGTTGGCGCTGACTTTAAAAAAAGCTAAAATAGTTTCAGATGAAGGGCTTCAATTATCTTAGACGTCTTTTATAATTAGATGTTGTTAGGATGTCAGTGTTATCTACCATAATTTTTCTCATGGTTTTTTTCTATATGGATATTTAAGTGCTCCAGTAATTTCACTGACATCGCTTAAGTGTTTTCTCAATCTACGACTTAATGATGATAATGTGTGGCCTATATATTTGTTTGTTTATTATATAATACAGTTAATGCTTGTTACAATAGATAGATAGATAGATAGATAGATAGGAACAGACTAAGATAGATAGATAGATAGATAGATAGATAGATAGATAGATAGATACTCTTTAACAGGGCAGTATTCTATCGAGCGTATTAAACTTGCACATTGTCAAAATTTCCCATAAATCGTATGTCCGTGTTCCATTTGAATCTATTAAAGATCCAATAGTCGCTCAAGGTACGCGACCTCCCTGAGGGAACATCAATTTATCGTGACTGGAACGTCTATGGAGAAACTGTCTCAAGTTCATAATGTTTTATCATAATCGTCAGCGATATCAATACAGTCTCATAATGTCTAAAGAATCGGCTACAGAATCAAAGCTTAAAAAATTCTTCAAATGACAATTAGGACAAAATCAACGTTCCGTCAGGATCAGATGATTCCAGGTTGCATTTCATTTTCAAACATTACAAAAAAAACGCAATCCTTGATGTATGTATGCAAGAAGTGCATCCTCTTACTAGTTACTTCACTGCACATTTGGAATACAATATTGCACTGGCGAAAAGAAAGGACGATATGGAGTTGGAAATGCAATACGCAAGATAGTAAATATTGCAACAGTGGAGTAATGGATAGCGGCTCGGATGGAGGAATCGGAGAGCCGTATTTGAATTCAAGTTGAATCCCTTACATTCACTTACTTAGGTAAGGTTTGAATTCCCCCCCCTTCTCCCCCAGCTATGGGTAAATATCAGGATACACTGGATTCTATAGCCTTGGATAGCAATTAGTATATCGCAGAGAGAAATTGCTAGTTAATAATATATGATAATACAGTTATACACGCTCACTAGAATAGAAAAAAGAGATACATTATTAATTTGCGAGAACAATAAAAGTAGATGACTCAAGAATGCAGGAGATTACGTTTGGCATTGTATTTAAACTTTTGAATAAGAAAGGGGTGTTTCCAAAAAAGAGTTCTCCATAGAATTTGTTACGGTTTTTTGGGTATATATGCTTATAAACTAGTGAGCGAGTCAGAATGACTTATTTCCCTTTATAGTCAACCAGTAGAAGGTTGACCAATCAGAAGCCGCCCAACACTGTATTCGTAGTGTATAAAGGCGGCCATCTTGTTTCCTCCTACCAGAAGGACAAAAGGCGACCAGGAGAAGGATGAACTACACTCTGCTGTGATATCCACTGCGAACCTTCACTACGCTTTCCTACTGTCTCCGAAATATTCACTGCCAACCTCTGGAGGCGATACTCGAGGATCGACCGTCATGAAAATGTCTAACAGAATTAACTAAATTTTATATACTAGAAAAAAAACAAGAAAAATGTGCATTAATTCTACCTCAAGTATTTTTCTACACCACTGACCTTTCATAGTAAGTAGACGTCAACTTTTGAAACAAAAACATCAAACAGAAATGAGGAAATAGCGATAGAGAGAGGCTTAGCTGCGAAGGCCTGAACTCGTGGAACTAAGGAATGTAGCTCGTCAGAACATTTGCCATGGAAATAGCGATAGGGTAGTGATAGGCTTAGCTGTTAAGGCCTGAACTCGTGGAACTAAGCAATGTAGCTCGTCGAATATTTGCCATGGAAATAGCGATAGGGTAGTGATAGGCTTAGCTGCAAAGGCCTGAACTCGTGGAGCTAAGCAATGTAGCTCGTCGAATATTTGCCATGGAAATAGTGATAGGTTAGAGAGAGGCTTAGGCGTAAAGGCCTCAACTACTGGAACTAAGGAATGTAGCTCGTCAAAACATTTGCCATGGAAATAGCGAAGGGTAGCGAGAGGCTCAGCTGTGAAGGCCTGAACTCGTGGAAATAAAGAATGTGACTCGTCGAATATTTGCCATGGAAATAGCGATAGGGTTGCGAGAGGCTCAGCTGCGAGGGCCTGAATTCCTGGAACTAAGGAATGCAGAGCTCGTCGAATATTTCCCATGTAAATAGCGACAGGGTAGCGAGAGGCTTAACTGTGAGGGCCATAAAGCAAAGCGTCTGTGTATAACAGTAAAGGTGCCAGTCTTCTTCTATATGCTGTATCCATTCACCTCCTTTCTGGTTCATTGCTCTCCACAATTTCCAACCTAAACTTTTTTTTCTGCCATACAGTTATACACGCTCGCTAGAATAGAAAAAAGAGAAACATTATTAAGTTGCGAGAACAATAAAAGTAGATGACTCAAGAATGCAGTAGATTACGTTTGGCATTGTATTTAAACTTTTGAATATTAAAGTCTCTTCTTCATTTTGGGGGAAATTGTCTAGTATCCACTGCCTTATAGGAGGACTGATATTATGGAACTCAAAAAGGGAAAAAAAATCTCTAAACTGCAAGATATAAACAGTTCCAAACATGTTTACGTTCTTAAGTCCAAACTCTGCCAACAAGATGCCTCACTTCGAGGTTTGTTTTTAACCTGCACATCTGTCGGGTTCGATGGGTGAAGATTTAGTTTTGGGTTTCGGGTCCTAAGGTTAATTAATCCCGTCTGATATACTCGGTGGGTGGTGAAGATGAGTTTACGTGATTCCACGAATTATTCTTTCAGATTTATGTCGTCCGATATTCATTTAATTTCAGAACAGAAATAAAATCCTAGTCGTGCGGGAAATCTCGTGAACACTCGCAATATTTCTCGGATCATTCTTCTAGAATTTACTAATCATATTTTGCAGTTGTATTTCAAGTAACTTGGGACAATTAGCGGTCGGAAGTCCTCATTTTAGAGCCGGCATCTCTTTGCCGCTGAGTAACGTTACTCCGCTAAGCAAATGGAAATAAACGATCTTCTTCTTCTTCTTCTTCGGTCTGTCGCCTCCCTTCAGGACTTAAACGAACGTGGCTCTCCACATTCTCCTGTACTTTGTAGCCCTTAGTAAAGATTCTGTTTTTGGTATACCTTCTAATCTTTGTTCTGCCAACCATTTACAAACGCTCGTTAGGCAGGTTATTCCTTACTTTTCTTTATCTCTCTTATTATGTCCTGTGAGGATCATATTTTCCCAGGTCTTTTTTCCTCATTATATGTCCGAGAAATTTCATTTGCCTCTTTCTGATATTAGATATACGTGTCCATTTTGCTGCCAAATATTTTATCGATTCTCGATACTATTAAAAATAAATGAATAACTGTTGTACAATCTCATTCATTTTTTTACGAAAGGCATCTATATCTATCTATCTATATATATATATATATATATATATATATATTGAGGCTGAAAAACGTACTTCTCAAAATCTGACGGAATGATCAAACATCAGAATTTATTTTGGAATCCTATCCTTGTAAGACAACATTTAAGGGAACTGTGTTTCTGTATATTGTAATATTTTATGCATACGAGATTTTTCATCTTTTATGAGCCGTGTTCTCTCAGGATGTAGGCGATCATGACTCTCCACAATTTCCTTTTCTTTTTGATTCTTAGTCGTGTTTGTCTTTATGGTATCTCGACTAATCCCTGTTCTGCCAACCATTTATACAAGATCTTTAGGTAGGTTATGCACTGTTTTCATTTGTTCCTCTATATTTTTCAAAAATATCGCGGAATATTAGAAGAATGAGTTCGATCCTTACTATGCGAGATTAAAGAAACCCCCAGCAATTGAATAATTACCGTATGTACTCGCGTATCATGCTACTTTTGAAGATTTGATTTTGGGATCAATTATATGTATGTACTTCTGGCCTTGACTACGCCGTTGACCAAACTATATATCCATTTACTGTACTCAAATTAGATTCACATTAGGTCTTCAAGGGTCACATGACATGAGAGTATGTACGGTATATGTAAAATTCCTCTATTTGTCCAAATTTATTCCTCCTAAAAATATTGAATTCAATTTCTTCGAAATTTATCAACACCGTTCCAAGACAACCGATAGACACGGGTGGGGTAGTCCCCTCGGCTATTTGTATCAAGTCGTTCTCGGGGAAAATCTAGAAGCTTCAAAAACATTAACCCGATGAGAATAAGATCTCGCAAACATGGTATGCTGTATATAATCGCGTATCATGCGGCCTTTGAAGTCCTAATTTTGAAGTTAATTTTAAGAGGGTCGCATCATACAATTTGTATATGTACTGATGGCTCTGGTTAGGCCGTTGAACAAACTATATATCCATTTACTGTATTCAAAAAGTACAGCTGTATTTAAAATAAACATGATTTTGATAAACACTGATGTTTTAATTAACTGTATCCAATAATAATGCATGTAATATTAACATATTGGTATCGAATTATAAAATACAAACATCGCAAATATGCCTCGTTTCCACTGTTATTATTTATATAAAAATGAGTATCGTGTATACCAGTGCATCATGTGACTTTTAAGACCTAATTTTGAAGTTAATTTTAAGGGGGTTGCATAGTAAGTGATATAGAATTCGCGTATCTTCAGCTGGCCCTGTCTACACCGTTGACCAAACTATATGTTCATTTACTCTACTCAAATTAGATTCAAAATTAGGTCTTCAAGGGTCACGTGATATGAGAGTATGTACGCTATATATAAAATTCCTCCGTTTGTCCGAATTTATTCCTTCTAAAAATATTGAATTCAATTTCTTCGAAAGTTCTCAACACCGTCCCGATACAAACCGATAGACACGCGTCTTCTCCGGCGGGGGTAATCCCCTCGGGTATTTGTATCAGGTCGTTCTCGGGAAAACCTAGCAGCTTCATAAACATTAACCAGAGGAGAATAAGAGCTTGCAAACATGATATACCGTATATACTCGCGTACCATGCGACTTTTGAAGTCCTAATTTTAAAGCTAATTTTAAGAGGGTCGCATCATACAATTTGTATATGTACTGATGGACCTGGCTACGCCTTTGAACAAACTATATATCCATTTACTGTATTCAAAAAGTACAGCTGTATTTAAAATAAACATCGTCCGTTACACGAGTATATACGGCAATTTTTCCAATTATAATATGTGTTAATTATTGGGGGATCAATTTATTACTTAGTAAGACTAGACAAGAGACCCCCCACTTTATGTCCAATGAAAATAGTTGTTTCCAATTATTATGTAGTAATTCTTGGGGGATCGATTTATTACTTCATAACAATAGAAAACCAGTCCTCAATTTTAAGTCCAATAGAAACTTTTATTACCGTATATACTCGAATGTCATGCGATTTTTGAAGAGCTAATTTTGAAGCTAATTTTAAGGGGGTCGCATCATACATGAGATTTAAAATTAGTATATATACTTCTGGCCCAAGCTACGCCGTTGGCCAAATTATATATCCATTTACTGTAGTCAAAACTACAGCTGTATTTCAAATAAACATCTCCCGTTACACGAGGATGTATATACGGTATACACAAACTTATTTGTCAGATATCCTAGAGGAGGATTTCCAAATATCATCGCCCTGTTCCTGACATAGTTAAATTCAGTAAACCTCTTGAGAGACTTATCTCCAGGTGTTGGACAAAATAATTGGAACAGGTGCAAATTCCACTCCTAAATTTCAAAGAAATTGGTTACGTTTTGACTAACTTTTTATAGTGACAGGGGTCACGTGACTTTATTACCACGTGATCACTGGAGTAGTTATAAGGGAAGTGTTTTTTGTTTTTTTTTACGTTTTATTTTTTATATTTACTTAATGCAAGTTTTTAGACGGTCATGTAGTGGAAAGTTTAGTGGTTACCATTTATCTAATCGTGTTGACGGCCCAAATCAATCCATACAATTTTTTTACTCCACGAATATGTTAAGCAAAATGCAAAAACAACAAGAGAAAACAAGAAACCTTTGTGATAAAAGACAAAATGGCAAATATTTGAATAACAAGAAATTTTCAATATATTTTTGTAATGAAAATATTTTACAAACATGTAGTAGATTTTTTTAGGTGAAATTTTATTAGTTTAATTTATGTTGAATTCAAGTTTGGAGAAAGATTATTTTTTGTTAATGGGTTTTGATTTGAAAAGATGTTTGTTAGAATCTGTTATTAAAGATTCTGTAAATTAATTGCAAGAGAAAAATTTATATTTAAGAATTTACTGTTCATGTAAGTAGTAAATGTTTATAAAGTTGTATGCAATTTTGTGATCAAAGAAGTTATCTATCTTTGTTTTGTGTAATACAATGTTGTCGAATGTTGAGAAATAAAGTTGATTTGTTAGCAGGAATTTGTTTAACTAATATTAAGAACTTTAACTAAAACTTTGTAATTACAGGTTATGTCTATTGTAAATACGTTTATTTATCTAATTTACTGTCTTTGTCCTATTTGTTTTTAGAATATAGTAAAATTTAAACCAAATGCGTGACCTCTCCGAGTTCGAAAAATGGCAAATCGTTGTAGCTCGCATGGCAGGAGCCTCGATCACTAAGATGGCTGAACTGTTTGGTTTTTCAAGAGCTACCATATCAAGAACTATGACGCAATTCGAGAAACAGAGCAAAACCTCTAGCAACCGTAGCAATTCTGGCTGGAAACTTACTGACAGGGATCGACGTGCTTTCAAACACAATGTGGCAAAAAATCATCAGGTTACTGCGGCCAAAGTGACTGCTGAGTTAAATAATCATCTGAATAGTCCAGTTTCTACAAAAACTGTTTGTCCTGGATATCATGGAAGAGCCGCCGTAAGGAAACATCATCTCTCCACTCGCAACATTCAGAAGAGGGTGAAGTGATGCAGAGATCACAATGCCTGGTCTGCAGACCAATGGAAGCAAGTCATATTCTCAGACGAGTCAAGTTTTTCTCTTTTCCCAACTTCTGGGCGAGTTTATGTGTAGAGGCAGCCCAAAGAAGTTTACAACCCTGACTGCGTTATTCCAACAGTGAAGCATAGAGGTGGATCAGTGATAGTTTGGGCCGCCATATCATGGAAATGTCTCAGTCCAATAGTTGCCCTGCATGGTAGAATCAACAGCAAAGATTACCTGAACATTTTGGGAGATCATGTTCATCCAATGGCGCAGGCTTTATTCCCTGATGTTTACTGCATCTTCCAAGACGATAATGCTCCAATACATACCGCTCGAGTGGTTAAGAATTGGTATGATGAGCATGAAAGTGAGCTAGAATACATGAAGTGGCCTCCCCAATCTCAAGATATCAATATTATTGAACATTTGTGGTGAATTTTGGAGCGACAAGTTAGGAGCCGCTATCCTGCACCGTCGTGTCGTAAAGAGCTGGAGAAGGTTTTAATGGAAGAATGACTGAAAATTCCTCTGGATGAATCAGGAAGCTGTATGATTCCATTCCTAGACGTATTAAAGCTGTCTGTGAGACTAAAGGACGACCAACTCCATATTAAATAAATTTTCTTTGAATTTAACAAGTGCTTCAATTATTTTGTCCAACCCGCGTATCATAGAATGTTACTTACCAAGCTAGGCTTGGAGGTTATGTCAATTATTAAGCGACTTCGATCTTTTTATCTAATGCACAAAATTCGTCTAAGTTATTTGAAATCGACTTTTAAAAACTTTTGAAAACGTCCCCCCCACAACGTGTTCAGAATCTCTTTGGCGCTACTAAAGTTTCACGATATAAAAAGAGATCTTCAGACGCCTTCGTTTAATAATCTAAATGATTGATTTTTAGATCTTGAAACTGATCGTAGTGCGAGAGTGTTTGTGGAGACTTGGATTTCGTACGCTTTTGAACGTATTTACATTGTTCCTCATATCTTTTGTCACGTCCACGACGTTTCGGCCGTTTTGCCTACTTCAGTTGACTGGAATATCGAACTGAATTTATTTCGTCCACTCTCGGTGACTTTTCTAGTTCCACATGCCATGTCTCTTCCGGATGTCTAAGTTATCTCCTTTTAACCCCCAACTCTCCAAATTTCTGTATTGAATTCACAACCAACGCTTTTATCCACAAGGCCATGTGTCCATGTGGACTTTTTGAAAGTGTTAAGGTTGATTTTAAACAGTCTACTTTTGACTTTACACACACACACACACACACACACACACACACATATATATATATATATATATATATATATAAACAAGTCTTATCCAAAACAGATAACTGAAATTTTTTTAAAATGATCAGCTTTCCGTTTAGCATGGTCACGTTGTCGTCACATGGGCGACGCTTTCGAAACGTATTCCTAAAAATTTTTTGATTATTTTGAATGAAAAAGAAAAAGAAAAAGAATATGAAAAGAATTCTATTATGATCTAAAATTTTAAACAACATAATTGCATGTAAGGATTTTTGTTTGTTTTTTCCAAATTTTTCTTCATATATATATATATATATATATATATTGTCAAAATTTTGGGGATGAGTTATCATTATTTACACTATTTATATTTTGTCCTCATACTTGTTGTTTTTATGCCAACGTTTCGGTCGTTATGCCCTTCGGTCATCCTCGTTTTGGGTAACCTGAACCGAATTCTTAAATCTTTGTTTAATCTTCGGTGGCAGACTGTTCTCGTTCCTCCGCTTATGTCTCGGGATATATTTCATTTGGCACTGCTCAGTTATGGCTCGTACATATATATATATATATATATATATATATATATATATATATATATATATATATATATATAGTGTCCAGAAAGTTCATGTGCACTTTAAAAAATTTATAACTTTATTTGTATTTGCGATAGAAATAATCTGTAAAAAAGTAGAGGGAAATTAAAGTTCGGAGCGTTAATTTTATATTCCAGTTGACTAAAACCAACAGAAAACACTGTGCACGTTTAAAGAATCAATACCTGTTAGAACAACACGCAAGCTGAAGCCTCTCACTACCTTATCGTTATTTCCGTGTAAAACTACATTCCTCAGCCCCCCCCAGTTCTAACCTTTAAAGCTAAGACCCACCATTCTACGCACACCGTAGAGAAATACCATCATTCCCTTCGTATTCCAGTTGAATGTACCTAGTTTTAAGTATAGCTAAAATAACTAATGTGATTTCAGGCATTACTGTAAATCAGTTGGCAAATGTTTTCCGTGAACCGCAAAATCGTATTACCCTTTGTATTGCTAATGATGGAGAACATGTGGAAACTTAAATAAAATGTCAATAAAACTTTGAAAAATATGGATTTACTTCTTTCTAATCATTTTTACAAATTATTTCTATCGCAAATACAAATATAATTAAATTTTTAAAGTTCACACGAACTTTATGGACACCTTATATATATATATATATATATATATATATATATATATATATATATATATATATAGTGCTCTAATATATGTATATGCTTGGATGAATATCATGTATGTAAACATAGTATATATATATATATATATATATATATATATATATATATATATATATATAATATATAATATATATATATGTGGATGAATATCATGTATGTACATAGTATATATATATATATATATATATATATATATAGTGCTCTAATATATGTATATGCTTGGATGAATATCATGTATGTACACATAGTATATATATATATATATATATATATATATATATATATATATATATATATAGTGCTCTAATATATGTATATGCTTGAATGAATATCATGTATGTACACATAGTATATATATATATATATATATATATATATATATATATATATATATATTAAGAGCGAGAGTGAATGAGTGAGTGTAAGAGATAGGTATATATATTTTTGGTCTGTTGTTATTGTCTGTGGAACGATGTCAGTTTAAGTAGACAGAGGACGTTCACCGTGATTATATCACTTTCGGTTTTTTCTGGAAGTTTGGGATTGACGTCAAAAGCCGCAGTATCTCCTTGAATTATATCAGATTTGTATTTTTTTCTCCAACTTTATGCAA